AGACTGACCAGATTTCCAGAAATGGCCTGGATTGTCCCGGAATTAGAGTACTAGTCCAGAATTTTAAGAATATTTTAAACATTAAGTCCCCATATATTAATTTTTAAATAATAAACATATATAATTTAAAAACTATTATGCAATAAATGTATAGTTTGTTTATGTAATTTTATTGAATCCATATTATTGTATTATTAAAAATTCAATTTTACATTGATTAAATTTGATATTTGTGTCTGCTAAATAAACTTACATATCCCCAAAAACTACAATTTCATAGCTGAATTGTATTTAAAAATATTAGATAAAAATACCGTTAAAACCACATTATGTTTATCGTAAAAAATAAAACAATTTAAAATTTGTTCAATACTGTATAGAGTAACAAAAGCCTAGAATCACTTCTAGGATTATAATTAATATTTTACTCATATATAATGTGCACTAATATGTGGTGGGGTTTAATGAAATTTGTGATTCATATTTATATTCAACACAAATGATTTACGTTTTAAACCCATTCACTTATATTTCAAGGGCAGGTAATGATTAGTTAAATGGTAATCTTTATAGTGTATTATAATTCATTAATATAAAAGTCCTGGCGATTCCTAGTATAGAGTAGAATTACAAAACATGTGTTCGTTCAATTATATTTTAGTTCATTATATTGAATCATAATTGGTAACATTGTGATAAAAAACACAATATATGCCGTAAAAAGCATTGGGAAGATCACAACGCAAAACAAATCTAGTTTACGGCCAAACGAACTATTCGTCCACTTTTCCCGACAATTGTCATAACATTCCTTTGTTTCCAACGTTTTCTGAGAGAGAGAGAGAGAGAGAGAGAGAGAGAGAGAGGTTAGTAAAGTACCAAGCAACAAACAATGACTTACCAATGCGACATTGTCTCGACCATGTCCATTATTATTGTTTGAGTTTTTGTTACATTTATGATCAATGACTTTAACGATTGCAAACTCGATAATAGCGGCAACGATAAAGTTTGCGCACCACATAAACCACCAGTCCTTCGCTATAAAGTACGGCACTTTCGCATCCGACCACATATTAATCACAACAATATGCGTGTACAGCATAAACAATACGACCACTAAAAACTTAATTCGTGATGAATTACTTGCTTTCATTAAAAATGACAAAAACGATATAAATGTAAGCATTGCTGTCGTGACGAACCACTGGACTAAATACTTGACAGTAATTCTTGTAAACTGTAAATCCACTTTCAAACAAGAATATTCTCCTAACAAATGTAAATATTATGTTTTTAATGTTTAAATATAATATCTTAATCAGACCTGTGTTTGTTTTGGATGTACAATAGGCTGTCGAATATTTATTAAGTTTAAATTCCTTTATAATCAAATTCTTGGTAACCTGAACAGGGTCCCCTACTTTCCAAAGCAGTACTAAATCAGCGGTCGTATAGCCATCTATATTATGAATATAAATTTTATAAATAAAATAATAGTTTGCTGTTAATATTGGTGGTTAAATACTAGATTAAATTGTCATTCTTGATTTATACAATTCAAACAATATTTACCAAATTGCTCGACAAATATTTAAAAATTTTAAACAAACTTATAAAAACTAATATACAACTTACAACTGACCATTTGTATGGAGCATATCTGTGTATCAAATGGGAAATATTTGAGATCCATTGGACAGGAGAGGGTTGCGGTGATCCGTTTGGAAAACAACACATTCCCGTTGGGATATATGCGAAACAATACGTTGGGTTTGATATCAGTGTGCGATTGAGTTGACCACGAGTTGGAGAAGAAGGTGTCGGGAATCCATAGTCGGGTCGAATCGTCGAGCACTAGGTATCGGATTTGGCCGTTCGTGTCGTTAAACGCCAGTCTATTGTCATTCCATTGCTGTCTAAAAGTCATTTGTATTTTATACGCCATGTTATCGACGCTAATGTATTCAATGCCCCGAATATACATATTTGTGCGAACGATGGCCGGGAAAGTACTTTTGCTCGTTTCGTTGTAATATCGGGGAACTATTCTCAGGTCATATTTGCTTTTATCCAATACTTTATCCAATATATCTTTCTCGGTCTTATAGATATCCCTTTACGATATAAAAGTACACAATATCTACATTATACAATTAATATAACTAGTATAAAAAATAAACATTTAGTGAATTGATTGGCATTATTGTTAATTAATACAATTATACAATACTATGTATAAAAATAGTTAAAAATTAAATTAATTATATTATAAATAAAACATAATATGCATATAAACCTCACCCAAAGACTTGCGTTGCAATTATGGAAAACACTATGAATTTCAAAGTGTTATGCATTTTAATAATTTATTTAAAAGTATTTCAAATCATAAACTAATTGAATGTAAAGTTTATGTAAATGCAAAGTTTTAAATAGTTATAGAATCAATCAATTTAACCTTCAAATATTATAATTCTTATTAATTATTTTATCGAAACATCACTTATTCTTTACATAACTTAATGAAAGTATTAATATAAATTATGATCATATTATGAAATGTATATTTTCAAGGTTAATTTGTTTTTGTTTGGATATGTGTTCAATTATCGATAATAACAAATCAGTTATGAACAAACTGCAAAACAAATTACCATCATGTTCATCCAATCAACTTTCAAACTGTTTTTTTTAATTGATGAACATAATAAGAGAATTCATTAATAAATATCTGAACATAATCGTACAAGTTGACTAACTATTGATAGTTGAATAGGTATTATTCGTAAATCTAGAACCCGGATGGTAATATACATTAAACATATTTCTAAAGTTTAGTGCTATTATATAATAACTTGGTATATTTAGAAAATGTCATAGACTTAGCATTACCCATACAATTAGTATTGCTATAGACTTAGCATTACCCATGTTAAAGTATAGCCAAAGACTTAAGCTGGAATCCCAACGGGAATGTGTTGTTTTCCAAACGGATCACCGCAACCCTCTCCTGTCCAATGGATCTCAAATATTTCCCATTTGATACACAGATATGCTCCATACAAATGGTCAGTTGTAAGTTGT